AAAGAAAAAATTTTAAAATTATATTTATTTATATTTGTAGATAATTAGTTTATAAAATTATCATTAGTCGCTATAATTTAGACCAAATGGGCCTTGGTGTTGTGCTAAATTAACCATTCTATATATCTAAGTGGGCTGTGGTCTGCCCAACACCTTTGGACCATAAGCCCATGAAATTAGGCATTTTTAAACCCAAAACTGATATTATAATAAGATAAACAAACCTTTGGAGGAGGAGAAGAAGAATAGTAGAATGATAAATACATAAACAACTTACAAGGGAATAATAATAATAATAATAAGTGCCTTAACCTTGAAATAATCACCTCACATTAAACAATAGATAAGTAAGTGACTCTACCACTCTAAAGGAGATAAAATTAACACCTCATACAAGTTTATTCAATGGAGAAAGAATTTGTGTGGCTGCTATTGAAAGAAACCAAAAATGTTCTGGAAAGACTTACCAGATATAGAGTATATGTGTATATTTATACCAGAGTAATTACATTCAGATGAGATCAAAACCGCAGAAAATCTAAGGTTGTTACAAGAGATAAACATAGATTACAAACATTCAAATCTAAGGTTGTTACAAGAGATAAACATATATTACAAACATTCAAATATAAGATAGATGATATGCAGTTCACTGGTTTAACAGAAACGCGGCTCACTGACTTGGCTTTGAGTTTTCTTGACTATTTGAATGATCATCATCGTTATCACTAACATTCCCCCACAAACTGGCCGGAAGATCGCAGATAGCCAGTTTGTCACGAAGGAAACAAAATCTATCAGTTGTATGCCCTTTGGTGAAAATATCTGCAGGCAAAATAGAAGTTGAAATATGCTCCAAAATGATGTCTCGGTGTGCGACTTTCTCACGCACAAAATGGTAGTCCACCTCGATATGCTTAGAACGTGCATGAAAAATAGGATTGGAGGCAAGTGCAAAGGCACTAATGTTATCACACCAGATAATAGGAGGTGAATCAAGAGAAATTTCCAGTTCACATAACAGCATACGTAGCCAATACACTTTAGCTGTAACTAGAGCCAGACATCTATATTCAGCCTTAGTGCTTGATTTAGAGACCGCTGGTTGTTTCTTTGCCGATCACGAGATAAGATTGGGACCAACAAAAACGCCATAGCCACACATTGAACGTCTATCATCGGGATCATCGGCCCAATCCAAGTCACAATATGTGTTAATGGAGAAAGAACCAAGTCTGAAAAAAGGCCAAAGTCCAAAGTATTTTTCAGGTAACGTAGGACACGCTTGGCTGTAGTCCAATGAGCTGTAGTTGGTGCTTGAATATGTTGGCAAAGTTGATTCATGGAGTAGGCAATATCTAGGCAAGTGAGAGTTACATATTGTAAGGCACCGACTGTGTGACGATATTCGGAAGGATCAAGCAGGGGGTCTCCATCGAATTTGGATAGCTTAGTACCCGAAACACATAGGCACGATAAGGACGTATGCTAGTGAGATTGACACGATCCAAGAGATCAATAATATATCTTGTCTGCCGAAGATGTAAACCAGAAGAATCACGAGTAGCTTTAATACCTAGGAAGTATGATAACTGCCCAAGGTCCTTCATAGCATAGTCTATCTGAAGATTAGAGATCAGCTCATCAATAAACAACCGAACATTAGATGTCACAAGAATGCCGTCCACGTAAACTAGCAGAAAGGCATGTGTAGAGTCACGGTGATAAGTGAACAGAGAGGGATCAACCTGAGAGCTTACAAATCCGAGAGATAAAAGGGTAGTGGATAAGCGATTAATCCAAGCCCGAGGAGCTTGTTTTAATCCATGAATAGATTTATGCAACTTACACACAAACTGTGGATTGGTAGGATCTTCAAAACCTTTAGGTTGAGCCATATAAACTTCCTCATCCAAAATTCCATGAAGGAAAGCGTTGGACACATCTAGTTGCTGAATGTCCCAATTAAATGAGATAGCAAGGGAGAGTTCCATGCGAACTGTGGAAGGTTTAATAACTGGGCTGAATGTGTCAAAGAAATCAATACCACTACGCTGGAGATAACCAACTGTAACTAGTCGTGCTTTAAGTCTTTCAATACTTCCATCTGGTCTGCGTTTGGATTTAAAAAACCCATTTACTCGGAACAACATTTTTTCCAGGTGGACGAGGACATAAAGTCTAGGTTTGATTCTTCAACAAAGCTTGGAATTCAGACTCCATAGCTGAATGCCATTCAGGTATAGCAGTAGCTTGAGCATAGGAACTGGGCTTAGAAATAATCACACCTGCATGCAAAACTCAAAGGGGGTGACGTGTTGAGTAATAGAGATGAAAATCAGGGTATGTGCGGGGCTTAAGTTGACCAGTTTGTGATCTAGTGACAACGTGAAAAGAAGGGGCTGCACCGGTAGGAGCAGTAGGTGGGGGCTCAAGGATGTTGCTCGGAGAAGAGGAAATAGGAGAGGCAATGTCTGGTAGAGTGTCTGGTGGAATGGAGAAGTCATGGTCAGTAGGAATTATAGGAGTAGTGTGGGGTGGTGAAATTGAAGTGGAAGGACAAGATGAGGGAAAAATGTGTAAAGGTGGAAAAGGAAGTAAGGGTGGAGAATTACCTGTTGAGGGAACGCTGCTGCTAGAGTCCATGATAAGAGATTGTACACAAGCAGGGAACACTACCTCATCAAAGATCACATTTCTGGAAATATACACACGTCGGGAGGAAGGATCATAGCATCGAAATCCCTTCTGATTAGAACAATAACCAATGAAAATGCATGGTGTGCTACGGTACGAGAGTTTATTAGGCATGTAAGGTCGAAGACATGGAAAGCATTGACACCCAAAGGAACAAAAATAACTAAAATCTGGAGGAAGATGAAATAGACATTCAAAGGGTGAAGAAAAATTAAGAACTTTAGTGGGCAATCGTTTAATGATAAAAATTGAAGTTAAGAAAGCATCAACCCAAAATTTCTTAGGTAAGCCAGATTGCGCAAGGAAAGTGAGTCCCATTTCAACTATATGATGATGTTTCCTCTCGGCAAGACCGTTGTGTTGAGAGGTATGCGGACAAGAGAGCTGATGAAAGATCCCATTATTACTCAGAAATTGTTTAAAAATGGTGGAACAGTATTCGCCACCATTGTCACTTTGTAATCGCTTAATGGGATAACTAAATTGCTTTTCTACTAAAATTTTGAATTTGACAAACGGAGCATAAACATCTGATTTATTAGAAATGGGATATAGCCAACAAAAGCGAGTAAAGTCATCAATAAAAATAACATAGTAGAGACAACCACTCAAAGATGGAGTGGAAGTGGACCAGACATTGGAATGAATTAACTCTAGAAGAGTAGTCGACTCTCGTGAGGAATTAGAAAATGGCAACTGCTTAGACTTACCTAGTTGACATGACACACAAATAGACTTTTTATTGAATGAATCACTAACAGGTAGAGAATAATTATGAATAACATTATGCAAAGTAGACAACAAAGGATGTCCCAAACGACCATGCCAAGTAGTGGTAGAGGTCTTGACCCCAACAGTCATGGAGAAAGCATGAAGTTTAGATGATGACAGCTATTGTAGGTTGATCGGGTGCAATCCTCTGTCACTGGGCCGCGAGATTATCAAACCTGCCCCATTACCTACGCCCATGGTATCAGTGCCTTCACAAGGCTGAGAAGTTGCCAAATTAGTCGCATCAGAAGTAACATGAATATTCGCACCACTATCAGCGTACCATTGATGCTGATTAATGTAGGTGGTATTGGCCTCAGCAACCATAGCAGCTGATTCGGTTGGAGGATGATGTCCCTAAAAAGAATAATTCATGCGATTAAAGCAATCCAGTGCCTGATGTCCCTCTCGTTTGCAAATTTGACATGGAGATCAAGAGTGAGACGCAGAAGGAGCAGGTGGAGCCAAAGAAGGGGACGGAAAATGAGGTAGGGGCTGCCGAAATGGTGAAGAGTTGGTCCTCGAGCCTTTAGATGCTCCCGTGAAGCGAGACTTGTTGTTGTTGTTGTTGCGAGATCTTTGCTTAGACCAAGGTTTGTGGGAGTAGAGAGCAAATGAGCCTGCTTCGGGCTGAATAGATTGATTATGAAAATTTTGCATTAGATCATAATTCAGCAACTCTGCATGAAAATCCGAAAATGGCATAAATTTCTCCTTAGCAAGGAGCATATACATTGTGACAAAAGAATGAAAGGAAGAGTTGAGGCCATTGAGAACAGATAGAATTAAATTTGAATCATCAATGGGTTTCCCAACAGCAGCTAATTCATCAGCAAGAGACTTAACTTCATCCAAGAAACTTTGGCAAGACATAGAGCCTTGCTGTAAAGATTGTAACTTTCTCTTGATAAGAGAAATACGAGAGGTTGAGGGCACTGCAAAACGTGCGCCAAGGGCTTGCCAAGCAAGCTGAGAAGTCTCAAGGCCATAAATAGTGGAAACCACCACCAGAGGCAAGGAAGAAACAATCCAGCCAAGTACCGTTTGGTCCTTAAACTGCCAGACCACGTAAGCAGAGTTAAGAATACCTTCGGCCCTTTGTTCATCACTAGAAAATTGAGGAGGACACGGTTCATAACCATCAACGATTCCCATGAGACCATAGCTCCAAAACAGAGGAACCAATTGAGCACTCCAGGCAAGGAAGTTAGTTCCATCAAGTTTGATGGAGATAACTTGAGCTGGAAGATGAAATGCAGCGAAAGAGGATGAAGGATTAGCAGCCATATGATCGATTGTAGCGTGAGCTATAGAAAAGTCTGATACCATGAAAGAAACCAAAATTGTTCTGGAAAAACTTACCAGATACAGAGTATATGCATATATTTATACCAGAGTAAATACATTCAGATGAGATCAAAACCTCAGAAAATCTAAGGTTGTTACAAGTGATAAACATAGATTACAAACATTCAAATCTAAGGTTGTTACAAGAGATAAACGTATGTTACAAACATTCAAATATAAGATAGATGAAATGCAACTCACTGGTCTAACGGAAACGCAGCTCACTGACTTGGCTTTGAGTTTTCTTGAATATTTGAATGATCATCATTGTTATCACTAACAGCTATTGCCAGTGTGACACCCTGAATTTATTTATTTATTAGGGGTTATGTCAAATGCTTGGTCTGTAAGTGGAAAAGAAAATTTCAACCAAGAGAGGAAATTGCAACATGGCAAATAAGGTCACTGGAAGGCATCCAAGTACTGAAATTGGAATGACAGTCCAATTCCATGAATGAGAAACAAATGTGTAAATGGTTGCACCAAATGCTACCATCATGCTTGCAATGGAAAAGAATAGCGTGATGAGGCCGATGATTAACTTCGTTGGCAATGACACTAAAAAGTCGTCTTCTGAGTAACGTGAAGTGAGGATTGCCAAGAACATCACCACTGAAGCCGTGGAAGAAAAGAGTGCAAGCGCATCTGATGTGACAAAGACTATGAAAGCCGTGTCATGCAAGAAATTGGGTATCCCATCATTGTTGTTGTCACCTGGTACGGTGAAAGCTGTTGTAAAAACTACAGTTATTATCAATGCGGCTACAACACTGCATGATTTAGCAGTTCCTTTCATCCAATTTTCACCTTCTTTAACCAATTGCTTGTGTTCTTCGGTAAAGACTTCTCTAGGAGTTTTCTTTTTCTTATTTTGTTGCTCTTGAAGGGATGGATGGACATAACTTTCCACAGCCTGAAGATAAAACCTTAGCTAGCATAAGCATGAGAAGTAATAAATTTGATTCTCAAACAAAAAATCTCCAATATTTATACAAGAATTAAATGTTATAAAAAAAAATTATTAACAAGGCCAAAAAAAATAAAGGAAACTTTAGAGTTAGAGTAAAAATCATATATAGGCCAGATTTCTAAATCTCTTGCACATGAAATTATAAATTTATAATCCTATATGTGAAATGAAAGTACCGCCGTTGTTGGATGTAAGATCAAGGCATAGAGGCAGGAATAAAATAATCATTTGAAGTCAATAAATTGTATATATATATATATATATATATATATATTGCAGGATTGTATATTCACCTTGAACCATTGTATCTCTCTCTGCATTTGCAATGCTGCACCGGAGACTTGACTCGAAGCTGCCAACTTTCCAGCTAAATGCAAGAGGTTGTCCCTTTTTCCACCTTTGTTGACCGCTTTCCAGGTTGATAATTTAAAAATTTTCCTTTCTTTTATAATTTTAAAAATCTTTTCTTGGTGATGTGAAATTGCCAGATGCAGTACACCGTAATCATTATCTTTGTAGCAGTAGGTATAGAAATAAGCATTTAGAATTTCATTGACAATCTCGCAAATCCCAAGTTTTGTAGCTTCAGCAAATGGCGACGAGAAAGTTGCAACGGCTTCTTTACCATTCCACGTAACGTCATTGTGACACAAGATTCTAACAATTGTAAGGGTCTGTGTATGTGTCAACTTTATATCGCGAATGTTTTTGATGTCTGGGACTGCAATTAAACAACTCAAGTCAATGAAACAAGATAAAGAATTACTTCAACATACTCCATTTAATTAAGAGAATTGTTCAATGCCAATTACCTAGCAGCATGAAGACATGCCAGATCATTTGGCGCAAAGCACCTGTGTTATACAAAGAAGTACTATTATAAATTGTATTGGTTTGTAGAACATAGATAGATAGATAGATAGATAGGAGGTGTACAAACCAAATGAAGCATAGATTATTTGACGAATAGGGACAAAATATTTGGATTCTTTGAATTCATCTGAACACTTAACCGCGTTTTCTATGTCCCCAGTATTACTTTCATTGTGAGGAACATATTCCTCTTGCAGAGGAATCCCTGCAGAGATAGGCAACAACAAGAAGAGCATGTGAATATAACAGATGCGTTTAACTGAATCTATAAGGCATGAGAATTAAATACAGAGGAAGAATGTTGTTACTAACAATCATAGATCAAGCCTCTCCAAAACCCAAGGCGATTCCTACCCGCACTTTTAAAAGCTAGAGGTTTACCAGCCTAACTTTATCTAAACCATATCACAAACAAGAAAAGTCGAAACGATCAATATTTATCAGTAACACCTTTATCGTCATCCAAAAGACCTTTGTTTTGGCCAGAAGAACGAATTCTCCTTTGGCCATAGTCGCGGCATCATGAAGTGGAAGATAACCCTCCCCTTTAGTCCTTACGTTCTTGAACTTCTGGGTACCTAAGTTAAAAGTGTTGTTGAGAATTTGTAACTAAAACAAAAAAAAGGACAAACCGAGGAAAGAAAGAAATGCTGATATTGTTTCACGGAAAAAACTGTGTTCTTTTCTAGTTTGAAGAAGATGAAAGCCAACTATTATATAGTTGGTGAAAACACATCCGAAACGCAACGTTTTGGAACATACATCATTCTTAAAAAACGCTGCGTTCTGAAGGTTTGGATTATTACAAAGTAAAAGTCCGTTCCTTACACGAGTATAGATTCACGCCTATTTTCAACCGATACAGGACACGCTTCTCACTATATAATATTCCATCTCAAACAGAGCTTATCTTCAACATCAAAACAATTCTTCTAGTTATATCTAATATTCCCTCTAAAACATAACTTCTCGTCAACCATCAAAAACACTTCTCTACATTATATCTATATCTCTCAAAACATACTTCTTTTCAACCATCCAGTACAACTCTCTCCACTTAAATCTAATATTCTGTCAACATACCAAAATTCCGATGGTTGCATTATTTTCTGCACCACCAAAACGCATACAAATCTGCAACATTTACTGCGACATCATCAATATTGAGCTACTGCTTATTTTTCTTGCACCCGCAACAAAAAGAATCTGCATCAATCCAAAAACTGCATTAAAAAAACCTTCTGAACTAACAAACACCACAACTAGCTGACTGCTACATTACTTTTACATCATCACAAATTCTGCGAATCAATCCAACAACTTCATAAAACTCGGTATAAAAACCCACAACAACTGACTTGCACATTCTTTTCCATCTCAAAATCTGCATCAATCCAAAACACGGCATAAAAATTCGCATTAACAACACCCACAACAAGATCTGCTGAACCATTCTGCATCCTCACATCACGCTCCATAAAATTTCTGCATTATTAACACCATGACAGTAGTTTTGGCTGGACCATTTCTGCATCACCAACTCAAGGTGCCATAAAAAATCTTCGCATAAGAAACACCATCACAAGTAAGTCAGGCATTTATTCTCCTATGCTCCAACAAAAATTCAATTTCTGTAGTGTTTTACTCATTTTGTAATCAGCATTATTCTCCTATGCTCCAGACAAAAAAATTCAGTTTCTGCAGTGTTCTACTTCATTCAGATGCAGCATTACATTCATCATTTCTGATCAACTTTTTCTGTAATGTTTCTCTGCATTCAGCTTCAGCATACAATTCATCAGTTTTCTAATCAACTTGGCAGTGTTCCACAACAGGTAAGGATATAGCTTACATTAACTTTGCCCTTAAAAATTAAATCTTGCTCAGATAACGGCTGTTAGGAATATCGCCTTTGGGTACTAGGAAGAAACAAACTTGCACGCTACAACCTTCTTTGCAACCAGTGCTCACCACAGAGTGACATCAATTCTGTGTGCGTAGTAAGTGCATGAAAAACAGGATTGAGGAGAGAGCCCTGCACTCTATTATCGCATAGATCACAGGAGATGATACTATTAACACTCAATTCTGAATAAGTGCTGTATCCAAAACAACTTCTGTGGCAGCTGACTGAGTGTCTATACTCACTTCGTGGATGAGAGTGATATCTTTTCTGCTTTTTGACTCCATTGAACAAGATGTTACCAAGGAAGATGGCATAGCACTAGGAGCATCCGGTCATTAATATCACTGAGCCCCCCAGTCAGCATTAGAATAAGCGTCAGTGCCAGAGGTGGATGTTTTGTGAAACTGCAGACCATAAATTCAGAGCACTTGAATGTAACGCAAACCTTTTTGCATGCTACCCAAGTGTGATAGTGATGCTGAAAGAAATGACGTACTTATCCCGTGAAGGCTAAGTAGGTTCAAGACAACGTTAGGTATTGTAATCCTCCAATAATGGCTTTCTATAAAAGGTAGGTGATCAAACAACTTCCCTCCTCTTTGTGAGGGAGTGCCAATGGCCATTGGGGGTTTGAAACAGGATTACAATTCCATATTTTTCCTTTCCAAGCAGATCTTATGCATATTTTGGACTGAGTAAGAGAGACCAGAAGCATTTATGCAACTGCGAATCCAAGGAAAAAATGAATTGGACCATCACCTTCAATGCAACACTTACTGTTCAAGTCGAATTACGTTAGTTAGATCAGGAGGCATTTCAGTGACTAAAATATCGTCAACATACACCAATAGATACACTAAAACTGATCCAGCATTGTAAAAGAACAAACTCACATCAGAAGGTGCTGTTTTTAAATCCCCAAGACAGAAGGGTATTCAATTTATCAAACTAGCCCTAGGGGTGTGAATTTCGACCATATAATGCCTTTCTAAGTTGCATACTTGTGGAGGATGAGTAGAGGAGAAGAAAAACCCTCCAGGAGGCATCATAACCACGTGTTCATAGATCCCCATTTAAAAATGCGTGTTCATCGAATGATGAATTATCCAGCTGCGATGGACTGCCAAAGTGAACATTATTCGAATGTAGCAGCAAACCTGGACATGGCAGAAAAACTTCAAAGGAGTCAGCCCGGGGGTTTTTGTTGAAACCCTTAGCCACCAGCCTAGCTTTATACTTCTGTAAGGTACTATACGCATTGAGCTTAGTTAAAAATCCACTTGCAGCCCACTATGTGCATCCCGTCCTCATACGGAACCAAATTCCCAGGTCGTGGTTAGTCAAGGAGAGCTTGAATTCCTTCTCCATGCAGTCTTCAATTCGGGATAGATAATGCCTTTTAACCTGGGAGGTTCTTTAAGAATTGTCGTGAGTAGGGAGAGGGCTTTAGCTAATGACTAGACATTTTTGGATTTAAGCGTGTGACCATAGGATGTTATTGGCAGTAGAACAAACATATTTGTGCTGTTTATGGGCAGTATTACTTTCCGAGTAATACCATTTGAGAAGCTAAGATATTATCTTGAGGAGGTCAAACTGAAGGCTGTATAGAGACACCGCATCATGTTATTGGACTGCAGTAGGTAAATATGCCAATGTATCCTGGTTGTTAGATCTACTGGAAGACCTGTTCTTAATTATTGAGGAGGTCAGAACTAAAGCTGATAGAGGACACTCGCCTCATGTATTGGAACTGCAGTAGTAAAATATGCAGTTGTATCCTAGTTGTTAGATCTACGGGAAGGCCCTGTTTTATATTCACACTCTGCTAGTACAACCTAGATATTCCTGTAGATAATCTGCAGTAGCAGTTGTGTACCATTTTTTTTAGAGAAGCTTTTGTCTGACAAGGAATGAACGCCAGATGTTGATCTGGAAGGAACTAAAAAAAGATCTGAATTGAACAGAACCAGAAAAAAAAAAAAAAAAAAAAACCAGAAGTTTCAGCCAGAAAAACCAGGACTTAAAGGGAAACTCTCTTCATTAAATTTCCCTTGTTTTGCCAACAAAAATTTCGCCCAGACTTTGACATACACTTATGCCTTTGTGAGAAGAACTAAACCTAATAACTATGTACGTTCAGTATGAAATGAGAGTTTGTGAGTTGTTGTAAGTCTGAGATATGAAAGCAACGCATCCGAAGACTCTAGATCATGGTAATTAGGTTCTTGTTGTATTAAAATAGGAGAGGAGATACAAACTCACAGGACATGGAAGGAGTTGTTAAGAAGATATACTGCGTAGAGAAGGGCCAGCCACCAAAAATTGAGGGGCATAATGAGCATGAGCTAGCAGACGAGAGTAAAAAACCTCAGTGCAGGAACTTGTGCCTTCTTTCTATTCTTCCATTATGCTGGTGTAAATAGGGGCAGGGGTGCCTGAACATTTATACCAGGTTGACTGAGATACTTAGAAACGACGAAAATTCCCCAACCCAACAGTTTGGTAAGATTTTAATCCTGTACTAATCTGTTTCTCTACAAATGTGTGAAAACTGAATAAACACTCAAGGCCAGACTTGACTTCTAGGGGATTAAATCAAGTAAATCTGCTGAAATAATCCAAAAAGAGGAGGTAGAACGATACCTTCTCTGGAAATATGGGACAGGCCCCCACAAATAGTTTTGGTTAGAATGTACTAACTCCAAAGGGCCTTGCTCGGGAATAAGAAGTAGGAAAACTGCATTGCTTTAACTGTTCCAAAAACCAAACAGCTTCACAAAAAGACTCTGCGTTGTAATCAGAAGCAAATGGTGTTACATGCCATTTTATTTAATACAACTGGTAAAGGACTTAGCACTAGGTGCCAAGACGAACTGCCACAGTAATGAAAAAAGCAGATACATTACAGACACATTGCAACGCAAAAACTTATGTGATAAAAAAAGAAGTACAAAGACTATTGACATTGAAGGGAAGATGTTCTGTTTATCACTGTGAGAGCATTGGAGGGGCCAGGATACCACTAGAACAGAACTGTCAGTAGGAACACCAGCAAGTAGGAGAAGGAAATCCAACTGGTACAGGCCATCATTCTGACTATACCTTGAGAAGTATCAAGTTGCTGCTTCTATCCTTTATCACACAATGATCCGAAAGAACTCTACTAATCACATATTATTCTTGTTATTTTGGGATATACTCAATAAGTTCGTGGCAATTTTTGGAACACATAAATGTTGCGAAGAGCCACAAGTTGTTTGAGTTAAGTGAGGGAAGTAACAATGTACCGTATGAGTGATCTACAAAAGAGTCCCATTGCCACTGAACCTTGGACCCTCCTTGATAAGGGTTCTAAGCAACATATTGATGATTTCAGAAACCATGTGATTGGAGGCTGCTGAGGTCCATGTAGAGGATGGATTCCTTCCAGTTTGTGGGGTGGCCATTGAGAACCTGAGGTTAGTTCACATCAAGATTCCAGCATGATAGCATAGACATTATTCACTGGAGACGCAACACGATGGTGCTGATATTGATTAATCCTTGAGGAAGATAGGGTGGTATTAACAGATCCAGCTTGAAACTGATTTCATAGAGGACCACCATTAAGACGTGTAATCATGATGAGCTCAACACTCATATGGAAAGATTATCCTAAACATTGTGCCAGTAAACAGAGCTTCGTGCTGGTGCGATTCAGGGGATGCTACTGAAAACGGTGAATGAGTTGAAACCAGGACTAGAATAGATTAATTATGTCCTTGCAGTAGGAAATACCAGCTCGTAGGGGAACCCCTGATAATCATGATCAAATATGTGGTAGAAATGACGAGCGAATGTCCCGGCTTTCCACAGACTGGCACATAACCGTTGCTTAGTATACCGAGTCTCTGTCTCGGCCTCTAACAAACGGCACAAAACCACGAGGGAACTTGTGCGAGGACAAAACCATAAGGAGAACCTTGTGGTCCAGATTATAGGCCATTCTGTCATACTCAGATCTATCCTTCCTCTTGATTTAGTCCTGGAACTCCATTGAAATGTTGAGAGTAATTTCCAGTTCCAAATTAAACATCTGAGAGAGTTTTGTTTGGTGAGTCGTCATTTCCTGCTTGGAAAATAGACTTTGCTGTTGAGTTATCCCACCTGGCGGAGTGATTAACACACCCTCCTGAACTAGTTTGAGTAATAGTGGTTAGGTCCTCAACTGTGCCACTGTTAGACCCATCTAAAGCAAGATGACATCTGTTCGTTGGGAAGTTTGTAATGCATGTGACTATTTTCCAAAGCCATTTCATGCTGATGAAAGTAGAAATTGTGATTCGTGAAAATTCGTCGGACTCACATTAGAACAAGATGGCACACTGCATCATACTAGAGCCTAACCCATTCCATATGTATAACAGGGCAATCTTCATCACTAATGTGTATCCACTATAATTAATTCATCGCCTAATGCGTCATTGTAAAATGTAATCATTCATACTTTGTGAGTCCTTTAGAACTTGGAATAGATTTCGAAGGTGAAGGGTTATGGCTGTTGAAACAGACTGAAAATGTAACTCAAGGTGTGCCAAATTCATATGCACTATTGCATTTTGACACATGTTAAACATGGATTCGGCAATGATCATAGAACCAAACTCACTAGGAATGATCTGTCTCGCTTCCAATTGAAATAATAGGGTTTGGTGTTTAATTGAATGTTCAGTACTTAACTTTCTACCATTACAAACAGAGGAGGGCAAGGATTCGCACCTAAATGAAGCTATCTAGCCGTGAGCAGGAGGGCTGTACAACTGAGAGCGCCAGTAGTGTATCTTCTATCGCTTACGAAAGATTTGGTAGTGAGGAGTGACCTGTAAAACTTGAGATCTGCATACTGACCTGCGCTGTATCAATCTGGAAGAGTCGGAAGGGATTCAAGTTCACATTCGACATTGACGTTGCGTTTGAATGTGGATGTTACAAAGAAAACTTCCGTTCTTAAACTATTACAGATTCCGCCTATTTAACATACAGGATCCCTTTCTACGCTATATTAATATTCCCTCTCAAACAGAGTTCCTCAACCATCCAAACACTCTTCTATGTTATATCTAATATTCCCTCAAACATAACTTCTCTTCAACCACCAAAACACTTCTTCACAATATCTATACTAAGGACATCTCTTGCAGCGTTTTCATGCCATATAGATAGCATGGGATATACAGATAGGCCAAACACTCCTCTCAAGTTTTGAAGTTCTTCTCCTTCGATCTTGAATGCAAGCTTCTTTATAATGAAGTGGGAGCACCTGATTTATTAATTATGTGAAAAATGGTATCCCAATTTCCGAAACAGTTTCAGTCAGCCCCAGGAGGTCTATCTACCAAATCTAGTAAAAGTATCCAATATGCTCCCATACAGCCTGTATAATGGCTTGAACCGAGCATTATCAGCTATTATCACCTCGGTCATTTTGTTCTCTTCATTCCAAATAAAATGTAGGAAAGGACTTTGAAATTTATTATAAATACCATGAAATTCAATTATCCAGTCACATCCTTTCCTTTCAGTACTGATTGATCACTTTCAGTTTTTTGTAAGATCAACTCGCTTCGTTCTACTAGTGGTTTTGTCTCCCTTTTTGCCAATCGAGTTATTGGGGTTGAACTTATCAGTTCTGTACTGTTTCCGTTCAACATAAACTAATTATGTACCACGAGAAAAAAATATGAATAGAAGTACTATCTATACAGAGTATTTAACTTACCATTCCCTTTCAATACTAATTCAGCACTCGTGACTTTCCGAAATTTCGTTATTTGATCATCACAATCGGTTTTCTTTATTTTGTGGTTTCATCTCCTTTTATTAACTGAACATGATCACTTTTTTTGTACTCTTTTCATTACT